TGAATCTCCATAAATTTCTCACCAAACAGCCTTTCCCTTCCCCACAGTGGAAGTATTGGGAGCCATCCACTCTCATATCAGAATCAGGATCCTGGCCCACTTGGTACCCATCACAGTTCTTTCAGTAGACCCAGTGTGGTTTGTACCTTGCTGTTGACTGCAAGTAACTACTACTACCCTGGAACCAAAGAGCTTTCTCGAAAAGCACTGCTTAACAGTAAAAGAATTTCCATTGAGACAGTGGTTAAAATTGCCATGAGATTTTTTTTAAAATGCCAGTAACGCTGTTCCTGAAATGCTTAACAAGTGCCTGTTTGAGCTTATCTCTGATACGTATCAGTCTCATAATTTGCCTTCAGCCCTTTTTCTCACTTGACATTTTCATTTCCAAGCCTAAGATTGACACAGCCAGGCAGGCAGCTCCTTCGTCTACTTATGGCTCAACTGGCATTATTTTATTTATATGAAACTTTTTATCTTGGGCTTTCTTATCTTTTGGTCCTTATTTCACTTCCTGTTTAAGCCAAGTTGCTTCGGTGCAGCTTAACTCTTGGAGTTCAAGCTCGTAAGAGTTACTGAACTGAGGAAGGAAGCCCTATCACCCACAGAGTCAGAAAAAGAACAGAAACACGTCCCAACAGTGTAACAGGTAACCGTAGGACAGACCTGGAGGACTTACAGGTAGGCTGCAAAGCCGCTTAATTTCTGCAGTATCAGCCTTGGTGCATCTCTCGTTATGTACATACTTAGACAATGATCTCTGAGGACTGCCAAGTTCCTTCCACTGCCTTCCCAGGAAAACCTACTCCTGACTGGTCTATGGTCCACAAACATGTAAATGACACTGACGGTCTCACTCAAATAACAGTGACAATCTCACTCAAAATATGAATACACCTTCCTAAAGTAATCATCCAAAGTATTTAACATGCTACTGACAACTGAACATACTCTGCAGTCCTGATGCAATAATTTCTTCAAACGTTAAACTGAAAAGCAATACTTGAACTAATGACAAAGCAGCAATTGCAGTACCAATTTGTAGCAAAGTTAAAACAAAAAAATGCCACATTATACCTCTTGGAAGTTTTCTATTTAATCTAGGACGCTGACTTTTTTAAAAACCCACCACACAATAATTCAGTACAAATTAGACATGTGTTTGGTTGTTAGTCTAGGAAATATTAAATATCCATTTCAGACTAACTGACAAATTAATCTTTAAATTCCAGGAACGTGTTCATTACTGTATGGGCTCTGAACAAGATTTGGTTTCCTTCAGCATTTATTAGCATATTTTCATTGTTTGTGGTCAAGCTTGTGCAAAAAAGGAAAGTGATTATTTTTAATTTTGATGAGAGCAACTAGAAGATATCCAATAAGCTTTTATTTGCCTCGTCTCACCTAAAAGGATCTAGTGGGAGGGGAAAAAAAAAAAAAGGTATATACGCATATATACAGACTGTGTCCCTGAAACCTTATCAAAGCATAATACAATGCTTAAGCACTTTTTTCACCCTTAATGCTTAAACACTCTTACAAGAACTGTGTGTGAAACTCTGGATCCACTTAAACTAATATAAGTTTGACATTCTCTTCAATATAAATAGGATCTTATTTTACAAAAATAGTGTATTTCACTAGTCAAGAATTGTAACAGACATGAATGGAAACAAACTCCTATTTTTGAAGTTACCACAAGCAAAGCTTTTATACATACTGCATAACAGAAGGTATAGCCATTTTTTACAGCTGTCCGATAGTTCCTGTTTGTTTTTAATTTCAGACTTTATTCAGAATCTGCAATCCGTAGTAAGCAATCCAAGTGAAAGGAATACAAGCAATATGAAAAGTAAAGCCAAAAAGAAGAAAAAAAACCTACTTCTCTGTTTCCAGTTGAGCTTTTTCTGCCTGAGTCCTTGCATGTTGACATTCTTGTTTCAATCTTTCTATCATTTCCTTCAGCTTCTGATTAGACTCCAGTAAATTATTTTCTGACTGAGCAAGTGAGGCAAGTTGGAGTTGCATATCGTGCATTTGCTACAAAGAAATGAAATGTTTCCATTTGAGAAGGTATGCAACTAACTAAATTAATTTTGAGATACTGAGGTAGAGCAAAATGCAGAACACCAACTGGCTGCATTAACTTTTCATAAGCCTTTCTTATTTGTTCCTTTTCTCCTTACTCAACAAGCTTCTCCGGAAGCTTTACAGTAAATCACTACTAGACAAGGAAGGTTTTCTATTGTAGTTAAAATGAGAAAGAGAAAGGGAGGCAGGAGTCTTCAGTTGTTGATGTGTCCCCCAGAACTTAAGAAATCCGACATGAAGCCTCAGGGCTGAACAGAACTAGAGCACCGCACAACATTTAGTAGCTGAGCTGTGGAGCTACCCAGACTCTTCCCTCTCATAATGCACAATGCGTTACAGCCCGCAGTGGCTGTACCAAACCAGTTCACAAAAACAAGTGAAGTATAGAGTCTGAAAAGTCCAACCTCTGCAGCCAGCAGCACACAGAAAGGATGAATTCCCTTTCCTTTTCCTCTCACCACATGCACACTCAGATACCCCAGTTTCTGATTTCTGGAGGAAAACCAAATATTGCCTTGAACTTCAAGCGCACACAGCTTGCAGACTACTTGGATGCACAGCTATGTTCTTACCTACTAAACATAACATCATGGGCGAGCAGGAGTTAAAAGATTTAGGTTTTATTTTCAACACTGCCATCAATTCACTCTGCAATAGAAATATACCTCTTTACACTAGTTTATTCATTTATGAAACATCTGTTAAGCACTTGAAGAACCTCAGATGAGAGATGCAGTGTAAATGCAAAGCATTACCTAGAAACAATTTATAAGTCTCCATGGAAACTGAATCTCCAGTTAAATAGTGCATAAACGTATTCAATACACCAGTCTATAAACATTCAGCTTTGAAATCCTTGGTACCCACAACACGCATGAAGGAAAGAGCTGTAATCCATCTATAAAGGTCCAGGAAAGCATGACTGATTTCTGAACACTTCCACTTTTAAATATCTGTTATATGCATTTTGTCCCTCAGGAAAAGAAAGCCTCAAAAATTCAATCTAATCTTCAAAGGCTGGACATGGTAACCGCAGGAAAGATTGTATTTCTCCATAAAACATTACAATGCAATAAAACCTTACCTGTTTCAGATCAGCACTTTCACGTTTCTTTTCTTCCAATTCCTCTGTCTGAATCGCTTGCTGTTGAATTTTTAATCTAAAATTGTATAAGACATCCTTATTTTTATCTAATTAAAATACAGATGTTAGAAGTTAGGACAAATCAGTCTGACGATAGAATATATTGCATAATTTGAAGGGCTGATAAATATTTAACTAAACAATGCTTAAAAATATTTTTTATTGATTATTAGAATTCATATAGGAGTAAGAAATATGTTGATTTGTTTGCTTTTGGAGTATGACTTTTGCTCATTTTGTCATACTGACCTTCATACAAATACCATAGTAAAACAACTTCACTGAGAACTATAATAACTAACTCAAAGAGATGTATTAGGGTCCCAGTTTGCCAGCTGCTGATATGGTGCCATTGTGGAAAGAGCAATAGTTTACTCTAACGCTGGGGCTATGCCAGCAGCCACCATGGACCCAAGTTTAACAAACATGAGTACTGCAAAATTATGTCTTAAAAATGTTCATTAAAATAATATAATTTTTAGAGGGTTGGATGAAAAATGTTCTTTTTAAAAAAAAAAACACCATTTTAATTCTGCCTTCTTTTTACACAATGCAAAAGATAATTTTGTTTAATTTACCATAATGAACATTTGTGTATCTATGAATAGTAAACTTCTACACTGACTACTGTAAAGAAATCAGGGCAGAAAAAATGAGGAATTTGTGTTAAGGTTAGAAAAGCCACACTACCGCAAACGCTGAAGTTCCTTTTTGCTAGATTCTTCTGCCAACTGTACAACACGTAGTTTCTCTTCATACTGATCCTTTTCAGATTGTCTCCAAGTATTTTGTTCCAGTTTCATCTTCTCTAGATCAGCTAATCTGTTCTCGAGTTCTAACCTGAGACATTATTCAACAGGTACACAAGAATCACGCCAAAATGCCAGAAGTGTCTAGTTGCTAAGAATGACATTTTTAAAAGTTACTCAAAACACTCCTCTTTTAGAAGTTGAGCAGTAAATCAACAAACATACTTTTCATCCTGTAAGGCTGCAATTTTTTCAAAAACTTCCTCTTTGGCAGCTTGCACTTTACGAATTAGCTCCCGATCCTTTTCTACTAAAAGCACCTTATGACGTTCAACAGCTGCCTTAAGAATTTCCTTGTCTGACAGCAATCCTGCATTACACATTAAAAGAAGTTAAAATGTCATTACTGATATCAACCTGATGAAATCCAGTATTAAAATAACTTTATAAATTGATAAAAGGGAGCTAAAAAACACAATTCACATGATAGAATGAATGAATGGGGAAAAAAACCAAGAAAAACAGGAGAGACATGGCCTTTCTTAGTATAACAGCAACATTTCAAAAACTTTTGAAGAGTAACCATTACACTGGAATCTCTGTCTGCAAGGTTTTATTATTTTAACATACAGAAGTAATTAAACAGTTGATATTATTATAGATTTAAACTCTAAAGCAATTTCTGCTAAGCAGTTGTGTCTGGATATTAAAAAAAAAAAAAAAAAAGTGTTCCACAATAGCTACAAAAAGGTCAAGCAAGAAAATTCGTTATTTTCTTTTTATGGAAAAGTTTATGGTAAACAGTAAATGGTTACCAGTGAAACCATAGTAACCTGGCTACAACAAATCTCACATTTTTATCCACTCTTATTACCAAATAAGGCAATTCTAAAATTATGACTCTATAGGCAAGGACAAAAGATGCAAATTAAAAACTTGTGACCAAGACACCCGTGTTCACTGGCAAATAAGCCACCATGCTACAACAATGACTCCTGGTTATTTAGCTAATTCAGTGATGCAAACTGGATTTTGCAGCAAGTTCAAGTTAGCTTAAATCTTGCCTGTATTTAGTTTCATGTTCCATAGGGTCCAACATTTTTAGTTCACAATATACTGTAAGTGCATTGTCGATACAGGAAACACCACTTTTTAGGTGCTCTTAGAGAACTTAATATTAAAGCAAGTGAACAGAAACAACCATTCCAGGAAGACGAAGGTACTGTTTTGGGGTTACGGCAAATCGGTGAGGACAGTCCACTTAAAAGCTGTGTAGTGATTTAAATCATCAACACATAACTAGTACTAGAAAGCTTTGACCTTTTCACTCTAGAAAGCTATTTCAAGTTGCTTACACACTCAGCTGTGTTAGGTAGCTTAGAACATTGCCTATTTTCTTCGAAGAATGAGCTAGAAATTGTATTTTGTTTCACCCGGCAGCCTTACCCAACTGTTAACAACTCCACAGACACAGAATCAGAAAACAAAACAACCACTGAAGCCCTATGGTACGCTAAGGTTTCAAGCAGAGTGTGAAAGACTCTAGAATTTGGCAATAATAGAAAAAATAACCATATGAAGTACATGATTTGAAACAGATTATGCTCAAATTGTGTCACAAATTCACTAATTTACATAAATGCAAAATTGTTCTGTACCTGTTCTTCTTAACCTAGTAGACTAAGTGAAACAACACAGTTATTTCAGATACAAAATGAATTGTCACATCTATGACCTAGACCAGCAGTAGAAGGTGAAGGCTGCTGGGGAATGTTTGGAGGAAAAATAATTGTAGTATTCTTACTAGAAGTTACAAAAGAAATCATTAGAAATTAATTGCACATTTTACCATCCATTTCACTTTGAATCTTGTTTCTCTCTCTTTCTACCTCACTCTTTGTTCTTGCTGCCTCCAGTTTGACATTTGTTATTTCCAATTTATGTGAATGTTTAAGTTCTTCTACCTATGAATTAAAAAAAAAAACAACTAATATATATATATATATTTGCAGCTTTACAGTAAGTTTTTCATGTGATACTTTGCTAACAAGAAAATCTGCCAAATAATCATGGACTACGCTTATTTTAGACATGACTTAAATATTTTTTTTCATCCACTGCTTTCCTGAAGCCAATCCAGAATATCCACTCTCGTAGATAATTTTTAATGGTGATTGTATAGATACTGTAACACTAAAGCTATTGACATCATCTGATTCCCCAAATCATAATCAGTGCTATTACAGGTTTTTATTAATTCCTCAAGTCACACACTGAAGATTATTGAATAAATTGTCAGTCATCTTGAAATGCAAGTTTTATATATTCCCTGATTAAAAAAATTGAAGTGCTCAAACACAACATATATTCCAGGAACCAGGCTGTCTGACTATTGACATGTATTTCATCGTTAACCAGCCAGTTATTACAAGCTACAGTGTAGAAAAGTTACTCTTTTAAGAAGCCTTGGTGATATACGCACAGATGCGCGGGATTGCCTGTAAAAACGTGGTTTCTGAGTAAATACTACACATTCTACAAGCTAGCCTCTGAATTTGGGGGTATTTCTGAAAAGACTACTCATTGGAAATATCTTGCTATGACACTGATCCAAATTGCCTAAGACCCTGATGCCTCGCTAACTCAAGCATTAGCGTGTCAGTTTACACATACTTCACTTCTGACTAAAGATCCCTCAGAGTCAAGCTAAAATAAATTTAATCTCCCTAAGTAAAACAAAACAGTGATATGCAAAACCACATTATCAATTGCTCCCCCAAGTAATTTCAATTTGGTAACTACTTATAGTCCCTCTGACCTCCTGGAGTGCTACACTACTTTCTCAAAATCCAGGTCTTCATAGTTTTGAAGTGCATTTTAAATCAAATACTTCTCTACAACTGTGACATCTACATCAAATGGCCTCATAAAAGCACGAGCTTTAAGAACATCAAATCAAAGACAATTACTGCTTGCATGGAAACTTTCTATAGTTTAGGCATTTGTACGCAGTAATTACATGGTCAATGAGAATTAAATATCTAGAGGAAAGCACTTATAATGAAAATCCATTCACAATGACAATGTAATTACAACCTGCTAGCATACACAAGTGGCAAAAGGTTAAGAATGACATAGTAGCTTATTAAGTAACTGCACGGTGGATTTGGTTGCTTAAATACTAAGTTGAGAACATTTCAGGGCAACTTGTAAAGATTTAAGGTGGCTTTTTTAAGGCACAAAATCCAGAAGACAAATGCATGCACCTGTGCTCAGGAGTGAGTTTGAGTGGGTGCAGAAGGGGGTGGAGGTTAGTATAGAAATTAGTTTCTACTTTCCGCCCTTCAAGAAACACCACTGAACATTTTAATTTTCTCCTACTTCTGGAGGTGAGCAGAGAACACCAGTTGATACAAAAAGTAAAGACTGTAACAATCTTCTATATATTCTGATAGACCATTGGTTAAAGAATGTTTTAACAGAAGCTTTCCCCTCTCATTTATTATTCATGTGAGACAAGTATGACACATTGTATAAAGAGGTTTTAAATACTGGTATAGGTATATACTGCTCTTACGGTAAATTAGAACTTTTTTGGATTAAGGACCAAAATGAAATACTTCACATGCATAAATGTGCATGTAAAGCCTGTTTTGAATGAAATCTGAGATTGTTAAAGAACAACTATGGTAGAAGCCAAAGTTTTCTTCCTGTATTGTATCTTTCTTGAGGCATATTATGACAATATTAACTGCTGTACCCATACAAAGCGCATGTCAGTGTTATTTTGAAAGTATATTCAGAAATGCAGGATAGCTTTAAGACAACAGAGAGCTTACAATAATTCTGCATTCAGCTAGATATACAAGACCAAAGTTACTGGCTTTACAGTTAGTTCATAACTAACTAAAGCCTCTCCAGAAAGGTAAGAAAACACAGGGGATTAAATTTGCTACTAGGAACTGACAGATGTGATAAAAATTTATTACCCAGTATTCTCTCCAGAAAGGAGGGAATAAGAAACAGCAGGAAGCTAATATTTACCCAAGTAACTATTTCATTAGGACTAGTATCCTAACTTAAATTTACATAAAGCAATGTAAATAAAGCAGTGTAAATAAAGCAATGTAAATTCTGCAACATTTGAAGGTAAAACAGTTTACTAGTGTTTCGATTTTTCTTGTTTATTGAAATAGTCACATATGGAATTGCATAAAGGATCTGTCTTTTTTAAGTTGTGTAACTGAGGAGTCACTGCAACCAGATAAAACTCCGAATCTGGCATCCATACTACTCTAATTATGCTGAAATACTAAACAATGACGTCAAGTTTCTTAAGCACTTTCAGGTTTTCCCTAAACTAGAAGCCTTCTGATCTTTTTTTGCTTAAGTATTTTTCTAGAAATTTCTCTAAGATCTCAAAAAAAAAAAAAGCATACAAACATAGAACGAAACTTCTAAGATCTGGTGCCAACCCAACAACTAAGATACTCAAACATGTTACAAGACAATGATCTACTTCAAACGATATGATGCCGTCCCGTACAGAAATGTTTTTGTACAAGCTGTGTTGGCATTAGCCCAAGAAGAATGCTATGCTAATGTGACTATCCTGCTTCTAATATAACTTAAATCTCCACAAGTGATTCCAATGTAGCTTGCTTCCTGTAGCTAACATAGCCCATTCAGAGGATACTTTTTAAGACCTCCAGAAGCCATAGCTGCATTTAAAAAAAAAAAAAGAAAAACAAAAAAAAATCAATTTAAAGCTCTATTGCACTTTACACACTATTAAAAAGTAATGCTTGTTTCCATCACATAAGGCTGGCTGTTTTCATGAGTACTAAAAACATGAATATAAAGACATGTCTTTGAGCCCTGTTCTGTTTAGAAAAAAGATCTAGAATATTAAATAAAAAGAGCATAACCTCAATCTTTACAGATACTTTTAGGGATGATGTTTTTCCTGTAAAGTCACATATTCTATATCTTTCAACTGAAATTGGGGGAAAAAAAATTCCAAACCTATTTTAAGTCACAGCAGAAGACATTGTTATTTTATTCTTAATGTAAAATATAAGCAGAAAAAAACATAACAGGATATGAAAAATGTATTTCAGATACCATAAAAGCACTTACTTTAGCAGCTAAGGAATTGACTTCTCGTTCAGATTTGTGAAGTTTACTAGTTAAGAGAATGTTTTGCTCATGACTCATCCGTAGTTCTTTCTCAGTTCGATCAATCTGTAGTTCAGCAGACTTCTTTTCTGCCTTGAATAAAGGAGGTATTTGTAAGATTTTTGGAGCAGGGCTGTCTCTTGCTATTCACTTGAAAGGTTCAATTGACCTGGGCTTTCAGATATTACTGACCCTTTATATTATATAATAATATAATATATAAATATTTATCTTTGCTCAACAATATGTTCCAATACAACAATGGTCTTGCATTTTATTCAAAAGTCACAACTCTTTTTACTAACACTGCCTGCACAGAATCACACACATTTTCAATCCTACTTCACAAGGGGCAGAGGTAATCTGACTCGGTTAGGAGGCAGCAGGTATTCCTACCAGTAAATTACTGGGCTGTAAACACCAGTATGACTGTAAGTGCCGCTGAAAAAGATGTCATATGTTGGCCTATGCAGTTATACTAACTGAAGCATTAACATCATGGAGAGGAAATAAAATGCAATTACTGTGAGTATTATAGACTCAAGACCCTGAGCTTTACTAAGTATCAAAAAGGTAATCTAACCTACGATTTCACCTTCCTTTTTCCAAACTCACCTATTTCCAGCAGGACTTTTTTTTAAGTTTTCTAAATTAGGAATATTACAGCACTTTTCTTTTTAAGTTGTGATCAGAGCATTTTGTAACAAAGGTATACAGCACTGATAACAGTAAAAAGGAAAATGAACCATCCATCTGTATGCTGCAACTGTGCGAGAAATCTACATGGAAAGACTCACTACCTAGAGAGATAGCAAGCACCGACAGGAGAACTGAAGACCACAGATGAGGAATACAGTGGAACCCTGGGAAACATGCAACAGGCCAGAAATGCTAAAGGTTCTTTAAGGGAGAGCAACAGCCAAGAACTAAACAATTGCAGTAATGTGTTGGAGAAAGGAGAGACACAGGTAGGCAAGAAAGAAGACGACACACGAGGAAAGGATTAAAGAAATAGCGGAGCATCATATGACATTTCTGAAAAAAACAAAAAATTTACTGTAGCAGATTATTAACATATTGTCATCAGTTTCTAACTCTAGCCAAGTGACAAGTGCTGACATGAGCATCTTACTGACTGCAAAGATGGATAGCACTCGCATGTTTAGAAAGGAGATCATTCAACACAATCTCTCAGTTGAGCTCTCCACCTTTCCAAAGTTGAATTGGCAGTACTCACAATGTGCTTACAATTTGTTTTTAAATCTGAAACGTACAAGTTCAAATTGTGGAGTCATTGGCAAAATTATCAGTGACTTCAGTGACAGTTCTATCAGGCCAAGTGTTATTCTCACTACACTCTACAAGGAGGCAAAATTTAAAAAAAAAAAAAAAAAATCTTACCTCTAGAGACCTTGTCATGGCCTGCATCTCAGCTAACTGTCGTACTTGTACTCTTTGAACATTTTCTGCTTGCACACCACAATTGTCTCTTTCTGCTCTTAGTTCTGCTACTTCTGCTTCTAAGCCTTTTAATTTCTGATACAGTTGTGCCTTTTCTCTACAGAGTGCCTCCACGCGTTTACTGTCCCTCGTGGGATCAACACTAAGCAGCTGATTATGGAGTTCTTCTTTATCTTTATCCAGCCTTGCAATCTGATAGTTGTTAATCAGAAAAATAAAAGCTTTTATATTGGTTAGGTGTCAGGCAGCAACAAATACAGCAGTTGACAATTCAGGAAAGAGCAGCAGTGTGCATTTAAAATATTGAGAAATTACATTCACATTTATTTTCTTTCTTAGAATAGGAAAATCAACAGACCCATTCTTCAATGCCTTTCTTGCTTCAGTTTTTACTGATAAGGCCCGTCCTCGGGCCTCAGATGTCCCTGAGCCCCCTAGCATTCTGTGGGAGTAAAGCAGTACCCAGAATAGAGGAAGAAAATCTTAGGGATCATTTAATCCACTGGACACACAAGTCCTTGGAATGGATCCAAGCATTTTGAAGGAACTCACTAGTAGCATCGCAAGGCTATTCTCTATCATCTTCGAAAAGTCATGGTGATCAGAGAAGGTTCCTGATGACTGGAAAGAGGCAGACAGCACACCCATCATCAAGAAGAGCAAGAAGAAGGATCCAGATAACTACAGGACAGTCAGCTTCACATCAGTCTCTGTGAAGGTTATGAAGCAAAACCTCTTAAAAGCCATTTCTAAATGCATGAAAGACAAGGTGATGGAAAGCAGGGTTTACCACGGGCAAATCATGCCTGACCTACTTCTCTGCTTTCTAGAAAGAGGTGACTGGCACTGCAGACAAGGAGAGGGCAGTGGATCTCATATACCTTGACTTTAAGAAGGCCTTTGATACAGTCTCCCATAGTCTTTTCTCTCACCAAAGTGGTGAGATATGGGCTGGGTAAGTGGATGATAAAATGGGTGGAAAACTGGCTGGGCTGCCAGGCTCAAAGAGTGATCAGTGGTGCAAAGCCCAGCTGACTGCCTGTAACTAGCGGGGTCTTTCTGAAATCAGTACAGGGTCCAATACTGATTGATGTCCTCATTAGTGATCTGGATGATGGGATAGAGTACACTTTCAGCAAGCTTGCGGGTGACACCAAACTGGGGGGAAATGGTCAATGTGCTGGAAAGTAGAACTGCTATTCAGAGGGATCTGGACAGGCTGAAGTAATGGGCTGACTGGAACCTTTTCAACAAGAGCAAGAACAAAGTCATGCATCTGGGATGGAGTAACCCAATGCAACAGTACAGGCTGGGGGCAACTGTCTAGGAAGCAGCTCCATGGAAAAGGATCTGGGGGTCCTAGTGGACAACAAGTTGAACATTAGTGAGCAGAGTACCCTTGCAGCAAAGACGACCAACTGTATCCTGGCAGATTGGCAGAGGGATAGCTAGCAGATCCAGGGAAGTGATCCTTTGTCCCCTTCCAGTGCCTGTAAGACAGCTTCTGGAGTCTGTATCCAGTACACGAAGAATAATGACAGACCAGAGCAAGTCCAGTGGATGGCCACCAAGACGGTCAGGGGGTTGGAGAACATGACATATAAGGACAGGCTGAAAGAACTACGCCTCTTCAGCTTGAAGAGAAGGCTCAGGGGAGACTATTCCTCTGTATACACGACAAAAGGATACAGAGAAGATAGATCTCTTCTCGGAGATGTATGGTGATGGGAAGAGAGGCAATGGACACAAGTCAGAACATGTGAAATTCCAATTAGATATTAGGAAAAAAAGTTTACCGTGAAGATGGTTAAATACCGGAATAGTTTGCCCAGAAAAGTTGTGGAATCACCATCCTCGCAGATGTTCAAGACTCAACTGGACATGGCCCCGAGCAACCCTTCAATATTTTAAGCAGGATGTTAGACTAGAAGGAGGTCTCTTCCAACTTACATTATGATTCCACAATTCTATAACCACAACAGAACTCAAATCCGCTAGTAACTCAAGACAGCCAACATGATTTGGCCCTGTCAGACAGAAAATAAAGCAAAAAAAAAACAAACCCCACCTTTCTGTTACAAGGTAGTACGATAGGTACAAACTGATCTTGAGACTGTAAGTAACAAACATATTATAAATATATAGATTCTAGTGTTTCAAAATGAGTTACATGGGCTGAATGTAGTATCGGGTGCAAAAGAGTAAGAAAGTAAGGCATGTAAGAGTTCACTTGATATTTGGAGACTAACCCAAACTCTGATCTGCAGCAGTGCTTTTAGAAGTTGCATCAGTGATTTCTATGGAGCAAAGCCAATTTCTGTGGCAAAAGCCCTCCAAATCCCTTTTATGAGGAGATTCAAACACTTACTGCATGACATGCCCAAGCCATCATTTAAGAATTAGGATGTTTTATCAGCAGTCCTGGTTAAGGGGGGAGGTCCCGGATGACTGGAGGCTTGCCAATGTGACGCCCATCTACAGGAAGGGCCAGAAGGAGGATCCGGGGAACTACAGGCCTGCCAGCCTGACTTCGGTGCCGGGGAAGATTATGGAGCAGGTCATCTTGAGGGTGCTCACAAGGCATGTGCAGGACAACCAGGGGATCAGGCCCAGCCAGCACGGGTTCATGGAAGGCAGGTCCTGCTTGACCAACCTGATCTCCTTCTATGACCAGGTGACCCGCCTAGC